GTGGATTAATATATTTTTTGAATTTCTTCAAATGAGAAGCACAAATTAAAATTTAAAAATGAAAAAAAAACAAAGAAATATCAGACAACTCAGTAGGCTTTCGATACGGTGTATAATCACTAGATTCATACGAACGAGACTAGTTGATTTTCTTCATCGTTGTCTGAATTAAATATGTTCTCTCGAGAAGATTTGAACATATCAGAATTTATCATAGGAACCATTGCACTAAAATTACAATTTTGATTGATATAAAAAATCTTTTGTACAGTATGATCGGATATTATTTGTAGAATATGAAACATTACCATTAAATGTGCTAATTAAAATTGATTGATTTTCATACTTTTATATTACCGATAACTTATGGAATTAAGACAGATCTATTATCTCTTTCAAATAATGGTGAACTATTCATATGTTTGAATAGTTATTTATCAAATCATTTGCTGAATATTTTCTAAGATTATAACTTATCTGAACACATGAGTAAATCAAACAGTTTCTGAATATTTCGACAACTCGATGGAATAACTTTAATACCTTAGAATTAGACATGTACGAAAGTTGTTGATGCGCACTTATATATATATGATTATGATATCAATAAAATCAATACATTAAAAACTATCAGCTATTGCTTTCAATCTTTTTGATTGTATAAAAATTCAGAGATGGTCATTCTTTGTTTAGATCAATCTATAGAATTGTTAAATTAAAAATTTGAATATTAAATTCTTTTTACTGTTTATAATTGGAGTCATGTTCATGATACATACAAGAATATTGGTCTCGTGTATGTACACAAACTTGTTGCTGAATAACTACATAATTGTTAGAGCACTTCGGTTATCGTATAATATACATACTGTCGTACAGGAAGTTTTATAATTCTCTTTCGTGGATAAAGTAGTCATTTTCTTACGCACTTCTCATGACGATATACAGGTTTGTTGGTTTCAATATGGTAGTTTACATTCTATCTCTTTCACTTTGTTGAATGATTATTTTATAAACATACATGATTTTCGAGTGAGTGAATTGGAATATTCTTATCTGCATGCCTTTTGGACGAGTAGAATGCATTTTTTTCATTCCAACGAAATATTTTTGTTTCTGCTTATCGTTAAAGTTATGAATAAAACCATAAATAGATGAAGTGAAACTGGATGACTGAGTACGGTATATTTTTTCTAGTTTTAACCAAATTTTATATAGGTGTTCTTATTGAAAACATAACACTTATTTGTAACATTGCGGATCGAATTCATTCTACTGTATGTAACTAAATTATTGATCGGAGATTTTTGAAATATTTATTATGAATAAACAGAGGAGAGATACGCCTACTCAGTCTACAAATTTCAGTTTATTTACTTATGGTTTCGCTGATAGGCTTAAATAATATATAAAGATAAACAAGTGCCTCACTCTAATTAGACAAATGTACTCTCCTGTTTCAATGTATGTGGGAGGAATCCGCTTATTATTAGTATTAAAAAAATGCTGATATTTTAGTATGAGAATAAAAAGATTAGTTTAATCCTTCTCGGTTTTATACAATGTTACTGTAGTCAGATAATGTTTATATAGTGTCGGTTACAAAAACCTCACATTTATAATGAAATTGCTGACGCATATATTCATAAAAATCCAGAGAGCGAAGGAACACTTATTATAGACTAATATATAAATCCGCTAAATAAATAATTAAACTCTTTAAATATTCATATGTATATACTGACTTAACTGTAACAACGTCACAACTGACTTTCATATAAATAGTGTAACAAGAATTTAATTTTTATATCTATAAAACATTTATTTGGACACGATAAATATTACAGTATTATATTCGTGTTAACTGAATATTAATATTCATGCAATAGGATAAGTATCGTGGAACAGTAATGTTGAATAGACATTGTTAAAGTAATCTTATTTATAAAACTATTTTGTTTTTGTTCTGAAATAGTATTTAGTATTATACATTGATCAGATAAATTTAGAAGATATTTTCATTTACAAAGAATAATTTTTAATAATATCTAAAATTAGATCTACTTTTGAAAATATTTAGTGTGTGAATATTGTCTAGTATATTTATGATAGTATCTGTTCGTCACTGAATCTACACTGTTTACCCGTTGTCGCCTTATCACATTTTTTT